TTTATTTAACACATTTACTTTTTAATCCATTTTCAAATGATTTCAAATTTCTTAAACATTAATTAAAATAAATAAAATGATATCGACACCCTGCTTTCAAAGATATCGGCATTGGCTGTCAAAAAACCAATATCGGTCGACCACTACTCAAAATGCATAAAATCTTTAAAAAAAAAATCAGGTATACTGATGTATTTTAATTCGTACAGTAAAACTTGAAAATATATTAAGGTTGTGTTAATCACAGACCTTATTTCAGACATTTAAAGGCACAATATGTAATTTTCGCCGCTAGAGGGCACATCAACATATTAAAGCGTCTTTGGTGTTTCCATGTTTTCTACAAAACAAAACCGGAAATCGAGGGGTTATGACGTCATTGGCAGGCGACACAATGACACTATAGACACGGTCCGTGTCACTAGTTAAAATTGCTTATTTCTCTGGATTTAAACATTCTTCGAAACATTTGGGATAATGTAAGTACACAAGTCAGCAAAATATATAACACTGTTCTAGTGGTTTTTGGATATTTTAATTAAAAAATCCTACATGTTGTGCCTTTAATCAATATCCCATTCAAAACACTCATTAACTTTGGGACGATGGAACCAGAAGTTTTCTGCTAGCTATAGGGCTCATTATTCCTGCAGCACTCAATTGGAAAGAATAATTAAATAAAAATCTGTTTCCATTTTGTGCTGCTAGAGGTGCAGTTTACTGTGGATAATATATGAGAACATTGTCCTCCATCTCCTTTGTTCTTCATATTCATATTCTGCTGGCTGTCCTCTCAGATTTAGACATCCAGTACAGAGCGGAGCTCAATCATGACCCAGATGTGGATAAAGTTAAGGTGGTCACCCAGTGCTACAGCTTCATCGAGGCTTCATCCAATAGTGCAGATATCAACAAGATGACCAATGGTGAGACCGTGTCTTTCTGGCAGTCGGACGGCAGTGCTCGCTCACACTGGATAAGGCAAGCTGTCCATTTCATTAGTGCATCTACATGGAATTAAATTATAGCTGATGATGCAACACATTCCATTACCTTCGCTAAATAATTAGTTAAATATTACCACTTCCTCTGACTCACCACTTTCACAGGTTAAAACTGAAGCCAGACATAGTTTTGAGACGGCTGGCCATTGCGGTAGCATCTAATGACCACAGCTACATGCCACAGCTGGTGTCTATAGCTGTAGGAAAGAACCGGTGCTCCCTGCAGGAGATCAGAGATGTGAGGATCCCCAGTAACGTCACGGGTTACGTACCGCTACTGGATAACGCCAACATCAGCCATCCTTGTGAGCACACACTTGTACAGCAGAATTTTCTGTTTGAAGTTTGAATTTAGGGCTGCAACTAACTATTATTTTGATAATCGATTAGTTGGTCGATTATTATTGTTTTATTTTATTTTTCCGATTAATCTGATTTTTAAAAAATATATTTTCTATTTTAT